TGGGTGAGTGGGTGTGTGGTTTGGGCCCCCACCAAGGGCAAACCCATCGCACATGGTCAAACACTAACTTAGGAAACAGGAGGCCACCCCCAGCTCCTAAAGGATCTTTGCAGAGCAGCTTTTTCCTAATTGAATTTGGTAAAATGTTTTATCAGCAAAGGGTTTTTTAAAATGCCATCACTGTGCAGTGTTGAGTGAGTAGAGCCAGGGAATTGTGATCAAGGCTTTGAAGTTCTTTTCCTCTCTCTGCACAGCCAAACTCATCTTGCTTCCTGTGGGTTTCACACGCTCAGTTAGCATTAGTTTTATTTATTCAGCACCTACAGCCACACAGCCATCCCACATGGGGAACACTTGTCAAGCTCTATGGAGAATAACTTACAGAGGAAGCTCCATGGGGATGTGGTCAATGCAGGTAAACCTGGGCTTTTCATCAGAAGAGTTACCCTCCTCTCCTTCCCAAGGAAAATTATACTGTCAATGAACAAATTGCTGAAAAAGCTATTTGTTTATATGGCTGGGACCGGTGTTATTCAGAGAATACCTGCCTTTGCAGCTACATCTGTCCCATGCAAGGAGATTATAAAGATGCAGTCTCTGTTCTGAAGCCTTCACAGCTTAATTTTAGGATTTTCTCAACTGAGCAGTAATCAACATGGCAAGTCATGGCAGAGAAAAGATGACAATTCTGGTAAGAGGCAGGTACTATGTGTTTGGGTGGCACTGAGTTGTGATATGGATGTAATTCACCAGGGGTCTGTGAATCTTCCTGAGGGTTTGCTTATAAACAAAAAACTCTGCTGATATCCTTTCAACAGAAGGTACCTTTTGTGATAGGCATGAACTGATAGAAGTGACATTAGAGAACGTTATATGTATACTGGCTCTTTAAAAATATTACAATAGTATCTGCTTCGTGCTAGTCCTAAACTGTTTTTTCTGGCTTGCGGCTTCTATTGACATTTTCCCTCTAACTATAACCCATAAGCAGTCACAGCTTTGCACAAGCCACTTGCAAAGGGTTTGCTTTCAAGTGAGGAGGGAGCTGGCTGACAGCTTGCATGCCATGGTCTGAAAATGTACCTCTGAAGCATCCTGCTGTTCTACAGGATTTTTGTCTAGCTCCCCTCGCTTCACCCTGCATGGCTTGCTGCTCTCCTCTGTGCTTGCTCACCTTTTCTCAAACCGAGAAAAAGCTTTGCTCAGAGCTTGCAACTAGAGCAGCACATCAGAGATGGTGCCTGTACTGAAGGGTCTGGCTTTCACCAGAGCACAGCTGTGCAGAGAGCTTGTTGGAGAAGGACTGACTCCCAGTGGGGAGGTCTAAGAAGTTTTGTTCAAACAAATGGCAACTTTTACATTCAAAATAAGCTGTGCTGATGGTTTCAATGTAGCAAAGGGAAGTAGTACACGAAAACAAAGCTGCTCAAGGTTTGGCAAGCTATTGGAACTGAAAGATGGGGGCCAGGATGCTCCTGGGGCTCTTAAGTGTAACCAACTCAGCACCTGCTCAGTGCATGACTTTGGTTTGAGCAGGTAAGGCCGGGGGGTTTCTCCCCAGAAGGGTGCTTTTGCAGACTCTCAATCTGCCTTTCCAAGGCACCTGGGGGACCTTTGGTAAATGGGCTCTGTGGAGCCATCACGTACCAAGGAGAACTTCAGAAGTGCTTCAGTTCTACCTGAGCCTTCCTTGTGGTCAATTAAATGAGCCTGGCTATTTGACATGTAAAATAAATTTCTTGAAAGTTTAAATCAGTAGTGTTTAAAGTTAGAAAACTGTCATCTTCTAGTGCTGAGTACAGAGCATAAACAGAACGATTGAAAAACTTTTCAATCATCCTGCTTCCCTCACCACCTCCAGTGTATAATTCCTCTCTGATGTCTGTTGTGGTCCCATTTAGTGCTAATGGGGAGAATGGACTGTATTGTCGTGTTTGCTCCTGTGTTGCTGTTATGCAGCTCTGCTGAATGCAGTGTCCCATTCAGTATCACACCTTCACAAAAGACAGAAATTATCCCAAAGAAGCAACAGACAGAAGTGGCAAATCCTCCCGCTGCAGTATTGGCATGTGTTATTGGATTCAGAAGGCAGTTTTGACGTTATCCTACTGTGCTGGCTTTTAAAACAGACTGCAGCAAAAGAATCTGCTCTTGATCTGCATTACAGAAGATAAATAAAAACTATTCAGACTTCCTAGGATGGCAGAATACCTACCCAGGCTCCGTCAGGTCCAAACAGCTCTAAAAAGCTGCCAATAAATTCCCTGGACTTTTCTTCCCATGTCTGAATGAGGTCATGGCTCTTCTCTTCCACCTTATAAACAAATTCTTTTGATTTTTCCTCCACATTCTTGACTTTTTCTTTCATTTTGTCCACTTGGTTTTGAAAGCGGTATTTCTTCTCCTGTTTTAAAAGTGTGGACACAGATTAATATATAGGGACTTGGAAATACTTAGCCACTGACAGCTGAGAAGAAGAAAAAAATTGCATTAAGGTATCCTAATACATATAGCCTTCATTAACTACTCCAACATTATTTTTATAAATGCAAATTTAACATTTGTGGAATGAAGTGCAGAAAGTACGTATTGGAAAGACCATGTTGTGCCATTACTGTGTTTAATCCCTTACATGAATCTTTCCATATTTTCAAACTGAAAGCACTTGATAATTATATGAATCTTGTGAAGGATATAACTGAGAAATTAACAGCTCAAACTTAAGCATAAGGAAAATCTCCTTGGGTTTCCTAGCAAACCCAGCCCAATGCTGACTTGCCAGCCTGGATGATAATTTAGACCAAAATGCTTCTTTGCCTGGGTTTCTGCAGGGCAGAAGGAAAACTCTCTTCACCTCCAAGCCTAGCTAATGTAGAAGCTTCCGGCTGCAACAAAAAGATGTGTGTGGGCCAGTGGCTTGTGGCCACTTGATAGAAAAGACACACAGAAAAAGAGAGGGACAGAGAAGATAATGTCGGGGGGCTAATGTTGAGCTCAGCTTCTAAAATACTTCAGGGTTAAAGGGCTTTTGTCCTGAAACGCTTCTGTGCTCCTCAGCTAACTAACGTTGTGCCCTTGAAGGTGTAATGCTCTCTGTAGAAGCACAGCTGACTATCAGCTTTTAATTTCCTGTGACCTTTGCTTAATGGGCACTTGAGTTTACTTTTAAAACAAGTACTGTTTAGTGCTGTGGTAGGTTTTATTCCAGCTTATGAATCACTGGAAGAACCGTCTTTGCAGGACACAAGGCCAAACAAAATCCTGAAGGTCCAAAGAAACCAAACTTACTTTGCACCTAATAGGTGACCAAGCCTTTCTTTAACAAGGAAAGCAGCGCTTTTCTGTCTTGGCAAAATCCTGTTTGCTTGGTTTTGCTTTTGGTTTTATTATTATTATTTTGAAACACAAATGGCCTCTGGTGCAAACTAGTATTTCTGCATTTAAATTACTATAAGCTAAATAACCAAATGCCAGGAGGGACTTCAGGATATATCAGTGTCTTGAGACTGGGGGAAGCATACCTTACGCAACAGTATCTTAACATCAGAGCCACTAAAGGATAAATTTGAGAACCCTCAAGGCACCCACCATGCCTTAATTTAATGGATATTTGCGACAGTGATCCTTGTGGGTGGAGTACTTACAAGCAGGATTTTTTTAGAAATTTTATAGAAGACTGAAAAAAGAAGGACAGTGAAATAAATATTTATGTCCTGTGATCTGATTTATCTACCAGACTTTAAAATAAGAAACAAGTAAACAAACTTGTCACAAAATGACACAATTCAGTCCTTCACAAGGGGGTTTTCCAGCTCCAGGGAAGGAGGAGGAAGTCCTCCTGTGAGCCAGTGCAATCACAGGACAGACTTTGTTAATGTGGGTTATCTTGAGGCCTTAAGACTTGAAACAGAAAATGAAGCAATGTAAACTTTCATTTCTATTAATTCTTTACTCCTTACTGGAGAGTAAGGGACAGTTCTGTATGTGGAAGCTGAATAACTTGAGCTGCTACATTTTTCTGAGCCATCCTTTCAAATGGTGCTCTTGCCTTACCTATTGTGGCTTCTGATCTCTTCAGCATCACTTGTGTAAGAGCTTCCTTCCTACCACACTTCCTCGTCTTTTAAAAACCATTGTAGCTTCCTCTAGTAATCTTGCTGCTCAGCTGTTTCTCTTTTGGTTTTTATCCTGTCAGCTTGTAGAGAAAGTTTGGATGTTAAAATCTTTGCTCTCTGTGCTGCCTTTTCACAATGGGAATAAAGAAAGAAATCAGGTCTTGGGTGAGTGGCTGAGAAGCCTGTGGTGGGGGTGTGGGCTCTTTCTGACTGTGTCACAGCTCAAGTAGGAAGGGGGAGCAGCAGCTTTGTTACAAATGTGAAAGCGTTAGATTGAAATGAAGCTGCTAATTAATAGGAGCAATTAAAACTACCTTCAGCTTACCAGTTTCTTTTAAATTATGTTCTTCACAGCACTCTATCTCCTATTTTAAAAGCATCAGGAGGAAGACATACTTTCTTAGCCTTTACTCTACATTTGGGTTCCTAGGAGAGGGTGTTTCAGAAGCAAATGTAGATCGGTGTACTTACATTTATAAAACTAACATTCAGCTCTTTGGCGGTGTATCCTCGTTGGAGGTTGCGCCGGGCGTACACATCATAGTCCCGGACGATCCTTGTGATAATATCCGACGTGGAGATACCTTCTGTTCTCTGCGTTGGTATGAACATTCCTGAGCAAAGTGGGAAAAGAAAGCCCACTGAGAAAGCATGGCAGGACCAGGCACTGCAGCACATAGCAAAGGATGAACACAAAAATGCCTGATCAAAGGTAAGAGACTTGCAGTTCTGCCTGCTTTGTATTCCCAGTTCTTTCCTGTTGTTCTCATGTGAGCTTAGGGGAGGCGCTGGGTTGCTATACCATTCATTTTTCCTCCAGTCTTTAGAAAGGCTAAAACTTGCCCTCTTCACGGTGTCAGCTGTGATGTTATCAGACTGCCAGGGGCTCTTGAGCCAGGAAGGCTAAACCTCACAGTTGTGGCAGTTCACCGAGTGGTTCTTTCCACAAGCATAGCTATTATTTAATGTTACATAAAGGAGCGGGGTGGGTTGGCTTCCACCCACACTATTGAAAGGACATTTGCTGCTCCCCTGTGTGTTTCCACTCTCCTCTTCACTCCTGTGCTGCACCATCTGATGGTCTTTGTTCTGATGGGTAAAACAGACCAGCCTCTGGCCTTGGCCAAAGCTAGGATGTGTGCTCAGGTAAAAGATGCCTCACAATAACTGGAAAACACCTTGGAGGTGCCAGTAGCTTGTAACAGGAAGGTGAAGCATAATAGTGGTGTGAATAACTATAGGTATACTGTGGGGACTGAGGGTATCGGTCTCCATAGCCCCTGTTTCATATCTGCCTGGCCATGTCAGTGGCTGTATAACCACTCTCTCTGCCCTGACAGATCAGTCCCTAATAAAACACCATTTATTAGTATGGCTTGTATTTCCCGCAACATACCTGAGGAATATATTGCCTTTTAATTGCTCTTCATCAAGACCAGATCACTTGAACTGTTAAGGCAAGCCACAAAGGCAATAAATAATAACAGAATAGTAGCACACCTTGGTTTAGTAGCTATTTAGGGCTACAAAAAATTACTACTATCATTTATATGTAATTGCAACATTGAGCTGCTGATGAGAGAGTGCTCTGAGATAAGACTGGAAATGGTTTTGCAAAAAAAAGTAGTGCTTTGTCTTAAAAGGGTGCTATAGCTACTGGCAAATTAATCTTCACATGTTCACTTGAAGTAGGCAGACATTGCTAGCTAATTTCACAGGGTTAGAAAAAGATCTGGAGAATGAATCAAGAAGCTTAACAGCCTCTTGTGACTAAATGCTATGTGATATTTTTTCTTTCTGATCTCTAATTAATACTCTGCTAAAAAATAGATTATTTTAATCATGAGCAGAGAGGTTTCCCTGATCGTGCTTCCCAGGCTTGCACTAGTCACTCAGGAAACTATTTTTGGAAGCAGTGAAACCTACTTTGAGCCAGAAGTCTTTACAGATAGGAGCTACAAGAATATATTAATAAATCCAAACCCTACCCTTGCTAAGCCAAAATTGGAATTGTTTTCAAGTAGATGCACAAACACATGTATGAGAAGGCAGTCACTGATTTTGCTTTCGTAGGCCTTCATGTGTTGGACTGATTAATGTTTTCCAAACTATTTGTTCACAGATATGCAGAGGTTTAGTCAGTGCACCGTTACCCAGCTCACCGTTATCCATATGCCCTCCCACCCACTGTAGGGAGTAGGAAATTGGAGCCCATGGGAATCTACACAAGGAGCTTCGCAGTTCCCATCTGCTTCTCTGCTCCCCAGCAACCTGATCTGGGAAAATGGGAGTACTGGGACTAAGGAAAAAACTAAGTGCATCCACAGCATTAGTCTATTTAAAACAAAAGACCCGAGGAGAAGGGGGAAATTTACTATTGTAATAATGCTGCTCTGGAGCATTAGGACTATTACAGCACTAGATCTCAAAACTTTTCACAAATAAGGTAACATTATTCCCAGTTTATATGTAACAAAATTCAGCCATACAGGATTGAATTCACTTTTCCAGCATCTCACACTGACAGACACGCTTCAGACCACAAGTCCCTGAAGCTTTAAGTCCATACTCTGTTCTGCTAAGAAAGTTTGAATTTCTCGTCAGGCTGCGTGCACACTGCCCCCATGCCCAGCAACAGCGGAGAAGGATGTGCCAGGTTTGGGTACTCTCCAGCTCAGTCTGGTAACGATGCAGTGACACCAAGGGCTCCTGTCATGTTGTCCTGTGCACTCAGCACCTTATAGAAAAAAAGGCAAAATAGCTGCCTGGCCAGCACATATGCTGTATGTCTCTCGGTGACCCCTCCTTATCAGAGGTACTTTTGTTCCATTGCCTAGTGAAGTAAGCTGGTGGTGGCTCTGAAACAGTAGAACCGCAGATCCCACAGGAGGGTTGCAAGTCTGACACCATAGTGAGGTTTGCAAGTGGAAAAAGATCAAGAACTGCTGCTATAAAAAGCTTATTCTTTCAGCTCAAGCCAATACCTGGTCTACTGCTGTAATTGTATAGTGTGAGAAGGTCACTTTGCATGACAAATTACTATCAGGCACATTTGCTCTGGAATTTCTTTAAGCCTCCAATCTACATGTTTATGGAGACCAGGAATGGATTTCCCAGTGTTCAAAGCAGCACCTCCAGGGAGCAGGAGAAGAAAGGTATGATCAGGAACCTTGGTGCAAATCAGAAACAGATCCTAATGACTCCTGAAGGCTGCCTGTGTGTGCCCATATTCAGGACTGGACTGTGTCAAGGAGTTAACAGTTCATGATTATCAACAAACCACTGCGGTTGGCTGGGCTGCTGTGGGAACTAAATTAACTTTTATCCATTCAAAGGTCTTAGTTGAGCACCCTAAAATTGTTTTAAAAACCCAGATGGGGCTCTTTCATGACAGATCTGAATGGTTTCCTGGAGGTTATGGCAGGAATTCAGCCAAGGCCATCCTCTGTGGTTTTACAAAGTAAATCTTTCTGCTGAAGTCAGCAGTACCTACCACTAGGGTGTAAGAGAACATGATATTATGTCTACTGCTTCTCTCCCAGCAGTTGTGGTCAAAAAGCAATAAAAGAATTTGAGCTGAGGTTGAAAATGAGGCTAAAAATTTAAAGTTGCTCTTACCTGCCTCCTTTATGTGTTTGTATACATCATCCGAGCCAGCGGAGGAGTATGGGATGTCATCATGGGCTACAAAGTCAATCTGTCAGGGAACAGAAGAAGAATCACATGCCACCATCACTGAATTTTGGTTCAGTGGGGGATCGTTGTGGAGGATCATCACCAGTGACGTGGACGCTAAAATACATCCTTGTTAATTGTGGTTTTGTTAAGATTTATATATATTGCAAGACAGTCAGTAGCACATAAATTATATCCTGGCTTTTAGAGAGCCCATGACATTTTTACGTATTTCTGGACAATTATGGCATTAATAAAGAACATGCCTTCAATTCAGGCCTTTAACAGCACTTCAGTCACTATGTGATAACTTTCCTCATTCATGAGCTCCTTTCCTGAATGCCAATTTATGGCTGATCTTCAGTGCTATTTTACTATTGAAAAATCGCACTACAGAAATCATCCCAGCATACTGAGAAAAAAAGGCAAGACAAATGTAACATTTTCTGGAAAAGACTGAGGCAAGCGATGTTGTGTACCTAGTTTAAGTGACTGGAACTAAATGAATTAAATAATTTACTCCAGCTAATAGAATTTCACAGGTTTGCTGTTTACAGAGTCATAGAATCATGGAATGGTTTGGGTTGGAAGGGACAATTAAAGGCCATCTAGTCCCACCCACCTGCAATGAGCAGGGACATCTTCCACTAGATCAGGTTGCTCAGAGCCCCATCCAATCTGAACTTGAATGTTTCCAGGGATGGGGTACCTACCACCTCGCTGGGCAACCTGGTCCAGTGTTTCACCACCCTCAATGTAAGAAATTTCTTCCTTATATCTAGTCTGAATCTACCCTCTTTTAGTTTAAAACCACTACCCAACTGTAATGAGTTCATTCTCAACTATCTATACAGAGGAGGGGAGGGATAAAGGGAGAAATGTACCTTATGTTTTTCAAGGAACTCGGGTGTCAGTGTCCAGGGTGCATCTCTAATGACCTCATCCACATAACGACAGTGTCTGAGGGCTTCGTATCGCTCAGTTTCATTCATCACAGTGAAGCCTTTGAATTTATGAGTTAAATCATCGCTGCAAACTAAAATATGGAAGTATCAACAAAATTACTCCACACTCAGTAGAATAAGCATGACCAGCAGTTAATTATTTCCTGATAATTCCATTAAGCACTTAGTTGTTAGTTTAGCTAATTTTGGGGTCCTCCAGGGCATCTAAGACTTCTGCTCAGGGTTAGCAGATAGAACCATAGACTTCTGAGAGATCCTTCCCTTTCTGGAGCTGCAGCCAAAGCCCATGTGAGATAGTGTAGGACATCTCCAGTGGTACTATATGCACATGTTGAGGTAACTCTATCCCCTGTAAGTGGGGATTTCATGGTCTGTGAAATTGCAGGGGTGATGGACAATGCTTTAAAAACAATCAAAAAGTGCAGTGTCAGCAATGACAGTGTGCTCACAGATGTCATGTAACACAAAATGATCAAAGCAGGAAGGCACCACAGGACATCCCCTAATCCAACCCCCCTCCTCAGAGCAGGGTCAACTTCAGCAGGTTGCTCAGGGCCATGGCGAGTTTCCACAGACAGAGACCCCTCAGCCTCCCTGGGTCTCCTGTTCCTGCTTTTTGTTCTTATGTAAATGATGAATTTGTGAACAAAGCTCTAAAACACAGCAGAACAGTTTCTCACTAAATAAACTTATGAAAATCAAGTCATGGCGGATTTGATAGGAATCTCTCTCTGAGTTTAGCTTTGAGTTCAGCGGGTTTCATAGAAAAAGAAGTAAGGCTTGTGTCACGTTCAAATAGGAAATAGCAGAAGGAAGCCCTATGAAAAGGACTGGGAGAAGCCATATGCTCCAGTGGAACAAGCAGAGTTAAAAGTCCAGAAGTCCTGCCTTTATAACTCTGGATGTACCAGTGTTTTGTCCTGTTGCTTTTTAAAATGAGGGGAAGCAACACCCATGTTACCAGAGGACTATAAAAGCCAGGTATTATCTTTCTACCCACATAACGTTGCATAAAACACAGTGGCCTGTCCCCACAACTGTACCTCTGTCCAATATTATAGCTACAATAGTCATTTGACACCCGACATGGAATAATGTGATATCTGTTTATAGCTGGGTTGACAGTCACTGTCCTTCACCATAGGTCAAACCTCTGCCTTTGGATCTTGCTTGTCTCTGACACTGGGACAAATAGTAAATGTACTTGACAAATGATAAATACAATGTTATTAGGGCTGCAGGGAAGTGTGAGAGCAGCCCTACAGCTGCTGCTTCTTTCTAATTTGAAAACATCAACCTATCAGGCAAGGCTCTGGCAAGGATGCAGTTTTTTTGAGATCTAAAATGGATGTTCTTGCTGTGATGGTTGTTAAGGACCTCTAAAGTAGGAAAAATGTAGGAAGATTTAGATAGCCCTGGAGTTTGAGCAAAATTCAAAGCCAGATAATAATATACACATGAATTCCAGCTAGTGAAATGCTACTTTATCCTATTATGTCATTTTTGATGCCTGCTGACAAGAAATTTAATGGAGATCAAAGCATTTTCAGTAGAAAGATCCCTTCTGGGATTGTATTTTTTTTTTTTTTTTTGCAGCCTTTACGTCATCTTAAAGCTACCCTTTTCTGGAAGAAAGGGTCTACTAAAATTATTGGAAAATAGTAATTTTTGCTTGAATTCTGTAGAAAGATTTTATTTCTTTTTTTTTCATTACTGTTTGTTCATGTACAGTGCAGACACACCATCTCTGTATTTCCTTTTTATTTTTTCATCCTGCTCAAATTACTGATTTGGGAAGGTATAAATATCTATTTTTAAAAAAAAATTATATCTTCAAATAATTGTCTTCACAGTGAGAAATAAAAGAGATTGGTTGTGGTGCCCACAAAGACACATGACACTAGTGCTTTTGCAGCACAAACTGTATGTGGGTGTGGAAAGGTGCCCATTTTTAAAACATGCTAAGATGCAGTGCCTTGCTGGAAAAAAGTGCTGGTGAGTGCTGGCTGCAAAGGGAAGCTATGCCATGAATTTCAAAGGAGCCAAGCTTTTGCCCCAGAGCTCCTTCCCTGATCTGGGACACCCCCCACTCCTTTAAAACCAACAACAAAACCTACATAACTGGCATTTTTTTTAAACCTCACAGTCTTGCACCTCCACTTGCTTCTTCTACA